TGTCGTGTTTGTGATATCGTGTTGTCGAGTCACATACATTGCATTGGCAACGATGGCTTTTATGCCAAGCGACGAGGGCTTTTATGCCAAAGCGGCGATGGGCTTTTATGCCGAATGTCCCTAATTATGGACAAAGCGACGGGTACCACATGCATAACATAGTCGTATCTCATGGAGTCGGTTATGTTTATTTTTGAGTCTTTTGGCGTTGAGCTTTATTTGATGGCTTATAATGAATTGCGATGTTATATGATACCTTGTTTTGTGATGATTTTTGTGTTGAACATAAAGTGATTATGATGTGATAATTTTATGAAAATTATGCGCTGGATATAACATGACGGTAAAGCGACGATATGAGTTTATGGCGATGAAGTTTATGTCTTGTTTTGACATGATTATGGTGATTATGTGATGATATTAAAGTGTTGATCTTGTACACTAAATGATGATTTTAAAGTATGTGAGATTTGATATTTGTTGACATATTCTTATTAATCTATATCATTTATGATTCAAAAACTATTTATATATTTCATCATGCCTTTAATTATATGTTTTGGAGTATCTCACCCTTTACCTGTTTCGTCGTTGCCTTTATATTGGTAACGTGCAGGTGATCCGCGAGGATGATGAGGATTAGCTCGAGTCTCTTTATTTTGAGTCGCTCTGCTCTGATAGTAGTAACACTCAGGATTTGGGCGACGTCATTATTTTGATAGGATAGTTTATGTATACTATCCTATGACTTTATGTATTGATGATAACATGATGATACGTACATTTTGTGAACACATCCGCTGTGTTGTGATTAGTCATATGTTTATATGATGATTTATGTTATGAATTGGTATATCCGACTTTTGATTTTGTGATGTGAATTATAATGTAATGTGATGAAAAACACGAATATGTGATACCTCAATTTATGTTTGGATGAAATTTTGAAACTCTGATTTTATTATTAATTACGAGGGGTAGAATTGAGGTGTTACAAGAAGCATCCAACTGAGGAGAAAGAATCTAAAAAGGTTTTCCAAACATGGACTTAACCTTGGAAAAGAAGCCAGACAAGTGTCGGACTTCATACTTTAACCCCTTGCATTCTTCAATATTATAACTAGGTGCCCCATAATGGGAGACACATCTAGCATTTGCATCGAAATCAGGAGAGAAATTTGTGGAAGGATGACCCAAAGCATGAAGCTTAATCAACTGAGCTTTCAAAACACGAGGAAGTAACTGAATGCAAGGTATAGAGATTGTATCAACATGTTTCTCAGGTTTCTTCTGTCTTTACCAATAAGCTTTTTCCCATGGGTTCACTTGGAGACTAGAAACCAACTGCTAGTAAGAAAATTTGGGAACACGAAGTTCTAGATGAGACCCACAAAGTATCTCATGATTTGAAAAAGATCCCATAGGCTGAGAATGAATGATAGGTTCTGTTGTAACAACATATATATGATCACTTTCCTTTGCTGACACTGTCTTCAGAACTTCCATATCCAACTCAATTGAGTTTCTAACTAGTCATTTTCCCCCTTAAGGATTTCTGATTATGGGCCATTTCTTAAATGTCCCCAATAAACAGCCCCATATGATTTCTCATCTCACCCAATTTCCCACAAAGTCATTCCATGGCTTTTTTGAATCATGGAGCGGTGAGAAGTCAAGATTCACAGTTCTGAAAAGAATGTTGGGCCTGAATAAGAATTTCCCTAACTCTGAGTACCTGTTATGAATGCATGAAGATGAATGAGTGGATGCAATGCCATGTTCAATCATTTTCAAAGAACCTGCATGCTTTTAGTTTCGATTTCAAATCAGTAAGAGATGGACAAATACAACATAATATTCACAAGCACGATTCCTTAGAAATAGAAAGAACATATGTGTTAACTTTTTTTCATGCATACATTTTTTCCAATTTTTTTTGTGCAAAATAAATATGCTATATGCAAGGTGCAATAACGCAGGTTCAAAAGTTCAGCATAACAATTGTACAATCCTCTGGATGATTGTTGTATCAATCTTCTGAATAATCCGAATACCACAGGATCAAAGGTTCGACACCAATTTCATAACACAACGGAACCAAGATCCATGAATAACCATTGTATAATCTCTGGATAAGTTGAATATATCAGGATCAGAGGTCTAGAATATAACCAAAGAACCATAGTCACCAACAGAATAAAACGGTCACCATCAGAACATAGTAACCATCTATACTTGTAAATATGTATTCCATCGCCACTCACGAGTAAAGACTAGGTCAATGGCAACTCAAAATCACGGGTTCGCCTGAAAGTATTACCGCCTTACCCACATACGTGGGTGTCAATAGTAATTCATTTGAACCTCATATGAGCGTGGTATATGACATGACTGCACTAGTCGTACCACGTCCTATAGTCGTCACTTCCCCACTCGATTCATAGTGTCTAGTGCACTCTGGCTTGGGTACTAGGACTTTTACCTCAATAGTAACACCCATCCAACAAAGAAACCCAGAAACCAACACAACAAAAGTATATGGAAAACAATAAAGATGCAATGAAAACATATGCTCATATAATCATGTACACATGAATAAACTTAAAGCATGAGAATAAACACCCAAAGAAAAGAAAAAAGAGCTAGGAGCGACTCCGGGATGGACCAGCATTTGGTCAATCTTTCCCCAGTGAAGTCGCCTGCTGAAACAACTGACTGAATAAATCATCGAGATGAAATCAATGAAGTCGACATCGAACATTTTTATCCAACAGGAAGGGAAAGGTAAACATTGAGTAAACCTGAGAAGGGTGAAATCAAGGTCGAACGACCAAGAGATACGGGTAAGGGAGTCTGTTATGCGAGGGGAAGGTATTAGCACCCTACACTCCCGTAGTAGTATTCTACGGTATGGACTCTTGTTGTTTATCTAATGAGTGTGTAAGAATCTATATCGAAGTTGTACAGAGAATGCATGCAAAAGAAAATAGAAAATAATATAGGGAAAATAAATTTGTGCTCGCTTGGGTCCTACCCCAATGCCTACATATCCTTTTTGAGGAATCATAGTTACCGTAGTTCAGCTCAAAAGTTTCTGTTGGTTTGTATTTTTTTAATGAACAATATCAATTTCTCCTTCTATCGTAGCTCGACCCTTGGAGACTCACGCATCAGCACAGAAGTGAATTAACATGTTCTTTTGAAAAAGTTTAGAAGAAAATCCCAAAGGCACAAAAGGTTTGGATTGGTTAATATCTTTTACCTTAAAGAAGGATTTGAAAGTTGTTAGATGTTTTATGCTTTTATTCAAGAAAAATAGTTTTAGTCTTAATGCAAGGATGCAAAAGAAATAAAAATATCCAAGGGAGACTAACCTAAATCTATCCCTAATGTTATCATACAATGATTGATCCTAAGGTTGAGGAGAAAAGGGGAAATCTCTACCCTATGTTAGCATGCATGGATACATATCCTAATGTCTAGCTCGAAAGCTACTCTAATCGAGCAATCCTAAGGGAGCATGGTATAGCAAACAAATAAGAAAACAAGTGCTTTGGCAAAAGCACACAAACAAGAGTAACATATACTGACTCAAAGGGATGGGGGAAACAAGAGAAATCATTTAGCTAAAGGGAGTGTATCACCCGAAGCAAACAAGCTGGAGACAGATGAAATAAAAAAGAAAAGCATTACTTTAGCTAAGGGGAGAGTATCACCCGAAGTAAACAAGCGGGTAGTGAAGTATCAGAAATGGCCATTGCAAACTCTTGACAAAGTGTGGGGGTTAATTACGAACCCTTCCTCATATAACCGACTCGATAACAATATATGCACAACTCTGAAGCATCGACGTGCAAGGCGAGCTAAGAATGACATGAACTAGAATGTGTGAGGGTCGATTCCGGTCCCTCCCACTCGCCTCCTTTTGAGGACTTATTATCTGTAATATAATGCGGGCATAAATTTAAACACACGTGTGAAATACCTACTTCAAAGGTAGGATTTTAAACAAACACAAATAACATACAGAAAGCAGTTCCTGTTATAGGACTTTAAACAGCGACTTCAAGCGCATGCTCTTTATTTCCTACTTCCTACTTTACATGATTTCTAGAAAGCGATAAATGCCCTTACTATACATGATCTCTAGAAAGCGGTAAATGCTAAAACGAGGTTAACATGAGAAAACACCAAACGAACAAAAGTTCGTAGCACCTCGAGCAAAAAATAGAGAAATCTTGAAAACTTCGAGTAAGCTTCACAAAGAAAAGAAATGAGTCAGATATTAAATGCCCGGAATAAGCGTCGAAATTTCGTCGATGTGAAAATAAATCACAATCGGAATCTCAAGCACATCCGCATATCACACAATAAACTTGCATAAGACTCAAGTCTCAACAAGTAAAGGTGAATTACAAATCTCAAATAATCAAATAATCTCGATTTAATTCTTAAAAATCAAAATCAAAATCTAATAAACTTTATTGATTTTATTACTTTTATCATGTGAATAAAAGAGTTCAAACAAATCTAAACAATTCACAAAATTATTTTAAAAAAATTACTAAAGAATAAACTCAGGGGGTTTAAATTTGGAAATAGGTGGTGTTGTAGTAAAACCAGGTGCTAGGCCCACCAACAACAAGGTCTAGCCAGCTCTTTTTGTGCCAAGGAAATTCTGAATGCAAAAAATGATGTATTGGGCTCAAATTAGGGAACTCTTGGTCCATCCTTTTTTCTATTTCAACAAATTTTCAGGTCATATTATAAAAAAAACAATTAAACTAAAAAGAATTAATAGAGATAAGAGAGTTTGCAAACAAAATCATATTTCCTTCGCCTAGGGATCCAATATCGCACGACCATTCACCATCTACGAGAATGTGAACAGAGTTTTCCTTTTCTCTCGCCTGTCGACAGAGTTTTTCTGGCCGCCGTCGCCTTATCGCTTGATTTCATTTTTGTCCGATCCTCCTCAACATCGATGGCTTCAAGAATCTATGCTCATCTCTTTCGTACCTTTCTCTTTCAATCTTCGTCTAAAATCATCTGATTCGCCATCATCATCTTCGTTTATGAATAAATCTCCACCTCATATACACACTCACTGCGAATCTACCGGAAAATGGTCTGGTGTATCTTCACATATGGCAAGATCGAAGAGAATTCCAGAGAAACAGATTTGTACAAGATTTGTTTTCAATTATTCTTTTCTTGTTATTGGTTCGATATTCCTGTTGATTTATGTTGTGTTGACGTAGATCGTGCCTCGAAGTCACGATGATGCTCACATATTGATAATGAAGATTAAGGCGTAGAACTGATGAATATTGAAGAAAAATTATGGATGGCATCGATGAAGCTTGTTACTATGATACCTCGATGAATGAAGACGATGATTGTTGAAGGAGATACGACGATGATTGATGATGCAATTACTCTATGTACAGAGAATAATTGAAGATGATGAAGATTTATGATGAATAATTAGATGCAATTTTTCTGGTGCATTGAAGATGAAAACATGTTGAGAGAAAGATTCAACTATAGAAATTTGCGATGCAGATTATTAACAGAGGATTTTCAGATATTGATGGTGAAGGTGGAAAAGGGAATTGGTGTTGGTGATTGAAGGTTCAGGACGAAGAAGGAAGATGAAGATTGTCGAGAGCCTTTGTTCTATGATTCTTCTAGGAATTTGACGAATGAAGATGAAGATGAGAGGAGTGATTCTTCTGCGAATCAAGAATGAAAAAATTCTCGTTAGTTTTCTGTTATATAGTTCTGTTAGAAGCGGAAAGTTATTTATAGGTTGAAATGATCTGAACTGTCGATTTGAGTTTCTGTTAGGGATCTGGATGGCTGGGATCTATTAGCAGCATAGTTTTTGGAGGTTAAAATTCTGTTGGGATGTTAGTTAAGTGGTCAAAAATCTGTTAGAAAATAGCTATGAGTTAGTTATTTATTTTCCACGGTTTTTTCTAAACTGAGACGCGGATACAGGGCTATTTTAATTCCGAGTTGTGATTGTACTGTTAATTCCAATTTTCCTCATTGAGTATTTTCCTTAGTATTTTCAACTTTTCCTCTTAATGAATGAGTATTAGTGTTAAATTTCTTGTGGAGTGATTTCTGAATTGGACTGGTTTAATATTTTTGGTTTTTTGTTTGAAAAAACATTTTTTATGATTTTATTAACGCAAGCTGCAGGTTATTTATCATTTGCTGGATTCCAATCAGGATCAAATAAGGCGAGTCGATTTCCCCAATTAAATTGAGTCCACAACCACCAGCCTTGCTGCTTAAAAGAAAAAAAAATTCATCCTTAGAAGGGTCATTCAAGCAGTTGACCAACTTTTGCCTTTTACTGATTGATGTAGCGCCATCAAGCCTCAAGTGAGGCTACCTTTGTTCCCGACGCAATTGAGAAAAAAGATTAAGAGTCTGAGTATAGTTTGAGACAAGGATAATGCGATCGTTTTTTCTCTGACGTAATTGAGCAAGTAATCTTGCCAAGACGTGCATTTTACCAGAAAGCTCAACCCAGCCTCCATGTTCTCCTGTCCATGGCCTAACCCTTCCAAATGACATATTTGGAGGGAAGAATCGGATGCAGTTCTCAAAACCTGAAGTTCCTAGACTCCCACTTTGTATGCTATCATAGATGAGCTTTAGATGATTGCATAAATTTTTTAGAATTGTTATGTAGGCCAAAATCTTTGTTTGCTTCACTTCTTCATTAATCACTCGTTTAACATTTTTGGATTGTATAAAATGTTTATATAGATCTGACTGTAGCAGAGTCAACTTGCAGCAAATAACTTAAACTATCTTAGGTGGTTAAATTATTTGATAACAACGCATTAGTTTGTCTTAGTATGAACTTATTAACTTCGGCACTTAATTCTGCAGTACGTTCGACACCAAGTTTCTCTCTTCTGAAGTAGTAGCAGGTTCTCTTCCATAAATTATTGGTGCCTCAAAATAACGTCGAAAATGTGCAATGGGTCCCAATACTCCGGGATTAGTGAAGTTAACCATTGCAAAGAATTCTTCTAAGTCATTCTTCAAAGGTGTTCCTGGCAACAAAACCCTACGCTTGCATGGGAGAGCAGCCAATGCCCAATTTGTTATTGTTTGATCATTTTTAAGTCTGTGAGCTTCATCACAGACGAGGAGATCACATGAGCCAGTATCGCTAAACTTGGATGGATGCATTCACAATGTCTCATATGAAACAATGAGCACTTGCAAATTGCTTTTGTAATGACACTTTGGATTCCCATTTTGTATGACTGGCATCTTAAGCAAAATGATCCTTTGAACGTCTTGAACATAACCGGAGTTTATGGAATCACTTGAATCAATTTCAAATCCAAATTAGATTGCACATTCTAATCCCAAAATCCAAATCAAATAATAACAACGCCTTGCACACAATATGAGTCCCCAACATTCTCTTTGTACCATGACTTATACTTTACAAATCAACCAATAAGATATTTTAACTTGACCAAAACTCTCTTCCTTTGGGGTTCCTTATAAAAAAAACCATGAAGAATCTTATAACAGATATCCAGTAACTATGTTGAGATGCAAACTTGTCTTCTTGCCATAGATGTAATATTGAATGAAAAAGCAGCTTAACTCTAAGGCCATAGTCCACAGTCTTCCCAGTTATAACCATTGATGAGAAAGAAATGAGTCTTCAATGGTTACAATCACAAACCCTAATTCCTCATACCAAAGTTGATGAAGGAATAAAACCTCAAATCCATAGAAACCCTAATTTTACAATTCAGTGCTCAGAGGAGAACCAGATGAATCAATATTATTCGATATGTGCATCTCAAAACACCATTAGAACCCTGGCTCACACAACCAATAAATTTTGAACCTCGGGCTCTTTATTGAATGCAAATGTATGTTAACAACCTAATGAAATATATGCAAATACAATGTTAAGCCTAATCCAGATAAAAGAAATTAGGAGGGCAAATTTTGGGGTGCAACAGTGAGAGATGAGATGCATGAAGACATAAGGGACAATAGTAAAGTTGAAACTCGATGAGATCACTTCCACATAGCTGTTTTTTCTCTATTTTTACTTTGTACCTCTTTTCATTTTTACGGCAGTCTTCTCTTACTATGATTTTTGTCTCTTTGTACAAAACCATCTGTTTATAGGCAAATTATCAATACAAGTCAATTCCAAAATTCAAATTTTGTTTTACTTTTTCTGTTTTGTTTGCAAAAACGTCCAATGACTAAATCGAATGAACATATGCATTTGAATATGATTACGGTTAACAAATGTGTGCATAAAAATAGGATTAGAATTTACTAAAGACTCTAGGAGTTAGGATAATCATCCATAAATCCCCACAGAGCAATCTCTGCAGAGAAATCCCCAGAGTTATCTTTACAAGCTCATCCTCGACGAAAATGCATTCCCTAGCAAGTTTAATATGCCTTCAGACATGAATTGGGGTATCTTCCAGCAGTTCACATGATCATCTTCCCCAGTTGCCCCCCAGCGGATAAGGAAGTTTGATAATTTCCCCAGCATATGGTAGAAACTTCCTCCGCACAGCCTACGGAATTCCAATTCCCATCAGAAATGATTCCCTCAGCATAGTTTACAGGAACGTAATTCTCCAGCAGAGTTTATTTCTCCAATACTGTAGAATCCCCTGCAGAATTCTCCTCTCCAACAGGATTTATTTCCCCAACAGGATATGTTTCCCTAACAAAGTTCATTTCTTCGATTACTGCAAATCCCCGGCAAGATTCCCTTCTCCAGCAAAGGGTAGTCAAGGTTGTTATCCCCAAAGAGTTGTTACGATATTTGAAACCAGGTCAGATATCATTTAACTTTGTCCTCATCAGAAGAGTTGGTATCCACATCAGAAACTCGGTCAGACGGCGCCTCAGAATGTTATCCATATCTTTTATCCCCAGCCAGGGTATATAAGAACTAAATTCCCAGTAGAGCGATGGACGACCAAGGTTCCTGAACTCTTCTATCCCCAAGCAGAAGTCAAACATTCCCGGTGGAGTATCCTTAAAGAAGAAAGCATGAATCCCCAACAGAGACGTTCTAAACAAAATTAAAGATTCATATTCTTCATCTCAAACAACAGTCAGGGATTTATTTTCCCCGGCCAACGATGTTATACGAAGTTACCGTTGCCGTCAAGCGACATCCTACATCCATGCATCATTTACAAAATATCATAGCATATGAATAAGAAACGCATATAACACTCTCATTTACTTTTATAACATCATTAGGCAATGCATTACATACATCATGACATTGCCTAAAAACTGACTGTGTCTTTTCAGGTAAAGTCTACAAACAGACGAATATCATCAGCAATTTTCAAATGGGTCAAAGATTAATTCCCGAAACAGGACTGAGTAACTATCTACATGACCAGGTTGCGGATTAATTCCCAAAACAATACGGGGCAACTATCTATACGACCAGGTAGTATGAATTCTCGAAACAGGATGGGTTTACCAACAAAAGCAGGTCCCAGATTAATTCCCAAAACAGGACAGGGCAACTATCTGTATGACCAGGTCAAAGATTAATTCCCGAAACAGGACAGGGCAACTATCTTTATAAGCAGGAAAAGATTAATTCCAGAAATAGGATGGGGGAAACTATCAATATGACCAGGTGGTATGAATTCCCGAAATAGGGCAGATTTACCAACATAAAAATAGATTATGGATCAATTCCTGAAACAGGACAGGGTGACTATCTACATGATGAGCATTTACCTTAGAGACTAAATCTAACAAGCATTTCCCTTAGAGACTAAATCTGACAAGCAGTTACTTAAGCACTTTCCCCAGAGAGTCATCCTGAAAAGCATTCTTCAGATACAGTCAAGCATGGACTCAATCTGATACTCTCACCAACAATTACTTTGGATGGCATCTATAAGCCCATTTTTTATATTCTGTCACCTCTCCGAACGACATATTTAAAGCCAACTCAAGCAATATTATCAACCAACAGTGTTACATTCGTGCACATGCGAGTGCAAATTTCTAGGCACTTAAGTGTTCAATCCTCTTCCACCTTCAGGTCACGAATGACGGACATGCCAATCTAACTCCTCGGGTTTAAGAAGATTGAACAGGGGAAACTGTTGTACCCCAAAATTTTCCCTCCCATTTTTCTTCAAGTTATCTTCTCATGCTTCGGGGGTTTTCAATTGCTCAAGGTTGCTCAAGAATTGATCAG